AGGAGCAGATTCGTGCTGCCAATGCTGCAAAATCCTAAGGTATGTCTAGGAAACAGCGATGGATTGACATGGGGCGGAAGCAAACAACACAAAAGTCTTGCGCTGCATGTTCAGACCCTCAAGGTAATCACTTGCAATTGGTTACTAACCAGTGGTTACTGGTTACTTACCTATAAAATAACCAAAAGTTTTGGTTACTCAACCAGTAACCGGTAACCAGTACCCTAGAACTTTTGGTTGCCCAACCAGTAACCGGTAACCAGTACCCTAGAACTTTTGGTTACTCAACCAGTAACCAGTAACCAGTACCTAACCAATTGGTTAGCGATCCCTGAACTGGACCGTCCGACGGTTTTCGCTCAGGTTTTAAAAAAACTGCCACCACTGGTTCGATTAAGGGCATGTTTTAAGGGCATGTTTATTAAGGGCATGTTTAAGGGCATGTTGCCGATTTAAGGGCATGTTTTAAGGGCATGTTTATTTAAGAGCATGTTTATTCCTGATAAGGGCATGTTCTATGGTGTTTCAATGAAGGCTTAAGGGCATGTTTTGAGGCATTAGGGGCATGTTTTCAGGGCATGTTTATTTAAGAGCATGTTTAAGGGCATGTTGAAGATTTAAGGGCATGTTAAGGGCATGTTTTAAACGGTCCACAGTCATGGGAATTTCAAGTTTTTTAAAAATCCTGAGTGAAAACCGTCGGACGGTCCTGTACAAGTCTTTTCTTCGGCTCTTCGACTTTCCTCTTTTCTTCAGTGGTCCGACCTCCATTTCCTTCGTTTGGCGAGGTGGTGTTGTCTCACTTGAGTGACAGTCTGGATAGGGTACAGGAAGGCCTGGTCATGCGACTGTTAGTCCCGGATTCTTCTTGCTATGGTCAAAGTCGCGTCGGATCGCTGAAAGTCGTTCACAAAGTCGCGTGCGACTCGCACGCGACTTTGGTACGACTTTCCAAACGACTTTCAGCGATCCGACACGACTTTATCGCCATACTTACAGTTAACTTGCGCGACTTTCAAAGTCGTGTGAGAAAGTCGCACGCGACTTTGGTGCGACTCGTATGCGACTTTAAGAACGACTTTTAATGCGACTTTGGTGCTCCTGTGCGACTTTATGCCGATTTTGGCGATTTTCAGTCGTATGACCGGGCCTTCCAGATCGTACAATGGAATCAAGACCATTGTTACGTAGCTTTTCAAATACTAGCGGTATCGGGTACGACCGGTTACCGCTACTCCAGCCCACGCCTCCATACTTTCATCTGCTACGCTGTTTGACGTCAGATCTTTCAAATTACTACTACTAGCTAGGATCATCCTGATCTTGGAGTGCTTGGCACTTGGCAACTCAAGTGACATCAGCTATTGTTAAAAGAGAATGACTTACTTGTTCTAGCGTGGATGCATTCTCGAGCATCGCACAGCTGGAGCTGGCCACTCGAGAACATGCAGTACCGTACCACCAGCTACCGGTCGCTCTTAGAGATCGGAGCTCGACCAGGGAGCTCACTCTTGGAGACCTTTTATGTTGGTATTTCAGCCAAACGCCCGAGCAGTAAAATGTACCATACGGCCATACCGGTACCGGTACGGTAGCCCTGAGGTCTGGGCTGCCGTACTGGTACACTGTACGGTCACATCCACCATGTGCTAAAATGGCTTGATCTTGCTCGAAAAACTTCGAAAAACTACTAGTAGTATTACTAGCTAGACTACTAGTACTCGTAGCTACGGTAGCCAGGTACCAGTACGGGGTACACTTGCTTCCGATCTTAATTTTAAAAATGGAGCAGCTGAATTTGCCTTGAGTACCGCGGCTCCAAAGGACACTCAGTCGTGAATGACGTAGCGACAAATCTTCATCTTTTTTTGAGAAACGATGGCAATGATGTCGGCGTCTCTTGCTGCCTCTCTTCATTCCTGAGTCATTTGGATCATCGTACCGCAGCTTCTACCATCAACGCAACGCACTGCGTAGAATCACTTCTCCCGATAATCAACAGTGTCACCACCATGAATCTCTTCCTCAAGCTCTTTCTGGTCTCCCTTTCGTTGACCCAACCATGTGAGGCGTGGGCTCCAACCTCGGTGGAATCAAGCTCTGCCTCCAGTGCAGGGACAAAGGATGGTCTTTCACGTCGCAACTTTATGGCCACTTCTGTGGCTGGAGCTGTCTTGGCCGGCACTTCCCTGACGGTTCAACCAGCGCCGGCAGCTGCTGCCACCACTGGCCTCGACCTCGTCCAGCCCAATACTCTCAACGGCAAGGTGGTTGTCATTACTGGAGCCAGCACTGGATTGGGGCTGGAATCAGCCAAGGCATTGGCCAAGGGTGGCGCCACTGTGGTGTTGACTGCTCGAAGCGAAAAGAAGGGTGCCACTGCCACGGATGTTGTCAAGCAGTATCTCCAAGCAGAGGGCGTGCAAAACGACAAGTTATACACAGTGCTACTGGATTTGGACGATTTGGCAAATGTCAAGTCCTTTCCTGCTCGCTTTGAAAAGGCACTGGGAGAAGGAACCAAAATTGATGTACTAATGAACAATGCTGGTGTTATGGCCATTCCCGATCGCCAGATCACCAAGGATGGTTACGAACGAACTTTCCAGTCCAACCACCTTGGGCACTTTGCCCTCACAGCCAAACTCACGCCCTACCTCAAGAGCGATGCTCGTATCATTAATGTCTCTTCACTCGCCTATCAAATGGCAGGCAAGGGACTCGATTTGGATAATCTCAATGGTGAAAAAGAATACAGCCAATGGGGATCCTACGGGCAATCCAAACTGGAAAATATTCTCTTTACACAGGAGCTACAACGACGAGCCGATGCCGAGGGCATTTCCTTGACAGCTACCAGTTTGCATCCGGGAGCTGTCAACACGGACCTGGCCCGCAACATGATGGGTGGCGAGAAAGTATGGTACGAGAAGAAAGAAAGAGGACCTACCAATGCCATGGAGAATATCTTGCAAGCTACAATCAACAAGACCCTCCTGACGCCGGAACAGGGTGCCGCGACACAGGTTTACTTGGCGGCAACCAACGATGCGGAAGAGAAGGGAAAATTCTATTCGGACCTAAAACCGCAAAAGTTGCCAGCCTTTGCCACGGATGAACAAATGGCCAAGGCTCTCTGGGAGCAAAGTGAACAACTATCAGGAGTCAAGTTTTCACTCAAAGGCAATTAAAATAGCTAGTTTAGAACTAGTGCATCTACATGTACACCTGGTTGGATGGCACTTGTCAAATTGGAAACCATTGATACATGTAGTTTAGAAATCAGGAAGAGAGCGTTGCACGACAGCTCAGCTAGCTACAGTACCTCTTGTCGTGGCATGAAATGGTGTTCAAGTTCAGCCGAGCCATGGTAGGAGTCACCAGTTTACTATCTCGGGTATCAAAACAATGACAAAGCAACCCAAGTCCGCGGTGGACAGTACATAATTCCCGTGGCGATGGGACAGTGGACGGCTATAAATCACATACCGGTAGCAGCAACAGGGCGCCGATGGCGACCTCATTGACTACCTGAACAGACAATACAGCATTGCTTACGGTCCTGCTCTGTGGGGAGAAATTGGCACGGTCTTCGCAATGCATGTGTGGCCGACCACACAGGCTTATCTAATCGCGCCTACAGTCATCCTTGCGAAGACTGCTCAAAACACCGTCACTGCTACTTCGCCGTGGTGTCATAGGTTGGCGTCCCAACTCCAACAGACCACTTTTCTTCTGTTTGGCCAATAGACTCGACTGCCGCTCCATCCTGATACCATCCACCATGGGTCTCTACAACCCCAGCTATCTTCACCAACCG